GGTTTAATACATGCACAAATGAGTTTTCACAAATTATCTCCCTTTCTCGTGTAGATGAACTGGACTACTCATTCTTTTCGTGTGTGTGTGTGTGTATGTATGTATGTATGTATTTATGTATGTTCGGTTGTTTGTTCACGGACGATGAGCCAAAGATGATTGGGGTTCGAAAGGGTTTGAATGGATTGTTTTAATCAGTTAAATTGGTTTGTTTGCACTCATATTTGGCGGCGTGTGATCATTTGAAATTTGAGCTAACCTCTCTGTTCACCTGTCGTCGTCTATCATGTAATCGGGACGTTTCATGCTTCAGTGAAAGCCCGGTGGGACAAGGGCAATCTAGCTGAAATGATCACTTACAAGCGCGCGCGCACACACACACACCGGTGCAACCACCTAGAGTGAAAAGGAACCGGTTGGAGGAGATTTAATGCAGTAAACATAATCGGTTAAATAATGTGAGTTCTAACCTTCTGCTTTCGCTCACGCTGTGCCTGTTGCACACAGACACTTCTGATCAATTTCCAATCGTCTTATGTACAGTGCAGTTAGCCGGAGCATACCTTATAGAGATTGCAGTTCAATAACGTTCACTCCTGCGATCCGATTTAAGAAAACGGGTATGAGATATAGAGTGTGCCAAGATAATGGGAACAATCAATCGCTTGCACCCAATTTCTTTATCCGAGGTTCCACAAATCGCACTTTTGATGCAGCAAAAGCTCGGTGGCATTCTGAATTAGGTAGGAACTGCATGCGTGTAACAATGAACATGAAAATTTTATTGTCAATGCTGTCAAACTAAGGTGTGATAAAATGACACGGACAGTAAAGCTGTGCAGGAAGCGTGACTTATCTGCGGTTTATGCGTTAGTATTGGGCAACCTGTGTTGATTCGGCCTGATCTGTCAGATGAACAAATGTGATTGGCCGTAGGATGTGAACGCACTTACAGGTGCAAATGGATGTTTGGCAGATTTGAAGTTTGTATGGCGATTGTGAAACGTTCAGTAACCTAGGTGTGATTCAAACCCACGCATATACGCCGCCTATGCTTATTACGCGTATGCTCTACCAGTTGAGCTACAAAGCCACACCGATAGCACTGATCTTTTCGCATCGTTGGACTCCGGTGAATTCTAAGGAAACCTGTCGTGGGTTCGAATCCCACCTGGGCTACTGAACTTTAAAAAATTGGCATTTACAGGTGTTTGATGTCCCCTGTATGTGGTTCAGCGGACCAAAATAGGGCCAACTTATTTTTACTACTGCTTTCCACAACCACACGAGGATAAAACTTGTCACAAGTGGACGGAATAAGATGCATGCATTCGTGTGATTTAATTTTGCCGTCCATGGTCATGGGACTATCGCATTGTTGATGCGTCGTTACCTCTAGTTCTAGCATGTTTTCGAAAAGAAATCTTTGACCCCGAGCGGTCTGACATTGAATTATTCGATTTGTATGTAAACGAACGGAGGCTGAATCATCAGCGACATCTTGCAAAAATTGTGCAATGGACACTTTGATAAGCCTTGTCGTTGAATTACGAGAAGACGAGGCATGTGGTTTCATTGGATCAGCTTCAAATTCAGCGCCGGCCACAAGGGGCTAGAACCAATACTTGTTGACCGCATTGCTGAGCAGTAGTAGTATGTGGTGACAGGAAATCGTTCATCTACCTGTTTCGAATAACCTTGCTGACATGATACCAGAATGCACTAAACCCTATTATTAGGCAGGATAAAGAGAAACGATCCTTACTGGCCAGCGGTTCTGCATTAATGCAGATAGTGCAGGTCGATGCCCCAATTGCAACTTCCTATGCAAACAGATTGTAGCGCTTCATTTTGCCGCTCATCAGAAGCAAGATGGATGGAAGAGCATATTTTTAACAAGACAACTTTGTTATACGTTAAGCAACACTAATTTATGGTTCACAGTTTATAGACTCCAAAGTTTAGCATAGGTCATCAACGGTTTTGATCAGGAGCCCATTTGGGACCTCTGGGCATCGTTTACCATTCCAACGTATTGAAATAATAAAAAACTTATAATTCCTTTGGTGGACCAGAGACCGCTTAGGAAGCGGTTCTAGAGTAAAACCGGCAGACCATACCCTGCTGAGGTAAAAGAATCTGTATTAGCAATGCACTATCCCTTTATTTTGGTATTATTTTTACATTCGGTTATTTAATATTTTATTATATTCCGATAAACTGTTATTTCGATGATTGGTGTACATAAAAATTGACCACTGTCATGTTCCCGCTGTCGAAGACAATTCACACAACTTTGGGTGTTCCTGTAAGTTTGGTTCGCAATGCATTATTCGTTACAAATATTATTTTAAAATTAATTTGGTTCGGGAATAATGATGTTATGGTTGTCAAATTAAAGTTTTGTTGGGTAAAAACACGATTTGCCAAACACGTATGTAATCGTAAACCTGGAAAGCCATCAAATAACTGCACATGTATCATTCATTTGTTGATAAATAGGAGACAAGACCCACTTTTGTGATGTAATTAAAATGAGCGAAGAGATGATGAGGGATTTAGTGATAAAGTGAAACTATTCAGATATGCTTACTTTTTTCCGTAACCCACAGGAAGGCGGTCGCATTGACATTTCCTGCTGGATTTCTTGCCACGCATACATACGTTCCTTCATCGGACTGATCGATTTTTTCTACACGGAGTCTGAAAAGGTTTTGGTTGTACGATGAGTGCAGCATGAAATCACCGACAATTCATTTGCTCACGAGAGATTAAAAGTTTTCAAGTCCAATGCAGGTGTCACACAAGGAATCACGGAGCGGTACTGTTCATTCGGCGGGAAAGCTTTGTGTATTTTGCAAAGTTCTCATTGTCTATATAATGATGTTGAAGTGTGGGTTTCCAACAGCACAACGTGAACTTCATTGTGACTTATTTCTATTCTTTGATACTGGACTATCAGAGCTGATATCCACGCTCTTCATAGAAATTTGATCGGATAGCTATGTCCACGAAAAATGTCTTGTTTATAAACTGAGTACAGCTGTTACTCTTGTTATCTTATTAAGCAACACAGGAGGGTTGAAATACAAATCAACTCATGCGATATCCTAGTGAACAGAATTTACTCAGAAAGACAAATTGCGTTCGAACGAGATGTTCCATAGATTTGATTTTTTTGAAGGCCTCAGGCACATGTTCCATTTTCATTGATTAATTACTGTTCCGTTTTTCTGTTCCAAAGCAAGACAATTTGGGTACCAAGCTACATTTTCACTCATTCACTGAGTTACCCCATGGGCTTCCAGGCGTTTNGCGTTTGATCATCTTCCGACGACCCCCGAAAGGCCACACAAGACGCGCAAAATGGCCACTTCGGGCTACTTCAAAGGCGATTTTTCGATGACAACAACAAGGCTACTAGACCAACTGGCCCGAGGAGAGCCGACATTAAAGGACTAATAGAAGCAAAGCGCTGATGAAGACGAACCACTGACAAATAAATTGTTCAGCTTGATGCGCAGGTTAAAATGGATCCGGTCAGCCCGGAACATAGGAGGAACAGTTTGAATAACTTATCGGCCGAGGACTTGCTCAATTACAAAAACCATAAGATAATATTAACCAGGATTAAATATTTAGATTCAGATAAATAAATAGACAAATAACGATTTAACAGAACCGGAAGTATGGAAAATTGTATCACGGATCTAGGGTCACACACACACATCGTATGATAAAATCGGTTGTTTTTTTGCACTTACGAACTGCCCCAAAGACCGGTTTCAATTCGAATTCTATTCGGTTGTTCGGTGAGTAGTTTTCCATCTTTGAACCACTGAAACTGGGGTATCGGTTGACCCAATATATCACAATAAAACATTGCCCTGGCTCCAGGTTGCCTGGTAAGATTCCGCATAAATTGCTCCAAATTGATATAAGCTGTAGCAAAAGACGTAGAGAGGGAGAGAGAAAGTGAAAGTGGAAACTCTAAGCGAATTTTCATAGTAATAAATGTTGACGCGCTTTTACTGGAGGTTTATTCTTGTCGGGATATATAGTCGGTTTGTGTTTTCAATTGCCTCTGTTCTCTCTTTTGCCGTCTGTCTCCTGTTGGACACTGATGACTGAAATGTGTCATGGTTTTCAGCTTTGAACAGATCGTATTTATTATAACTTCAGTAAATGAAAAAAAGGTTTGGATCTTAGGATACAGATTATAAGCCAACTTGTTTTCTGTGGGTTCAGTTTCAAGTCATTATATACATATTTAACCGAAATCTAAGATGGTTAGGTTTTGTTTGTGTTTAAGTGAGGTTATTCTGTTAGGGTTATTTTAGTAACAGGATGAGAGGGAACATAGATGAGAAAAACGAGTGCGGGGCAAGAAGACAGATTACGTAACTGTTGTCAATCATGAGACACCATCAATGCATTCGATATCCGGGTGATCAGGTTTGAACCGGCTTAGATCATAGCAAACGAATGCTAACTGCTAACACGAGAGGTCTAATTGTTCCGCTTTGGCATATGGTAGTGAATGCCGAATGATTATCGATCGGGTATTCGGTTTAAACAAGTAATGGTAGAGCTTTAAATGGTTCCAATGCTTATAACTATTAGCCAATGTGATTGATGCTCTCTGATGTGCTTTGACAGCTGTCTTGTCGTTCAACCTATATGAGTGGTATTGCGGAGGTACTTGTAAAGGGGATTTAGCATGAATGAGGAGAATAAGGGCAGCTTAGCTTTATCCCAGCATCAATTAGCGGGTTAGTTTGAGAACATGCATCTGAGTTTTGCCTGCATCCCAAGTGGTCTTTATTGTAGTACGCAAAATCCTGGTGGTTATATCACTCCTTGTATCCTTTGAAGAGGATTTTGGTAGAGTGTTTTATTTTCTGGTCCGGTCGATCCTATCGGCTTTGTTCGTTTGTTTGGTTAGATTTATTTCTATAGACCATTTGGGATACCCGCGTTCTGAAAGTGTTCATCTCAAAGAAGATAACTCAGTCTATATTGTATCCTTAGCACAAATGCATCTGGTTAGCACGTGAGAGACAATGTACCGGATTGCTTTTACGAACAAGTGGAACACAACTATGGTAGTGTGTGATCGAATGAACATCTGAGAGCTGCAGATTACTGCCATCTTTAGTTTCCACCGTGAAGAGCTAAATCTGTCCATTTTCTTCGTAACTTAACCGAAAACATAAGATGCTGAGCACAAGTCCGCCCACAAGGACAGCATACTACTTAGATCAATTAATCCGGTGTTCAATAAGATGTCGTCGCATCAAGGATGAACATGCAACTCGAGAGATTAATTAACCGCGAGATCTCATCCCTGAACTTTGCAGATACCAATACCACGAGCTGGTTAAAAAACACTTGCCTCATTTGCAACCTCGAAGCCTTCGCTTCGAATATTTGAAATCATATATGACCTCGTGATTGGAGAAATTTTGATGGCTAGGTGTTTGTCACGCCACTCGAAAGTTATCCACTAACTCTCTTTTAGTAATCGACACTACCATCAGCTAAAATAATTCTACCTCTTTATTATTGAAGTTGAATGTGACTGATCCATTCTCGTTCCATAATAGATAACAGAAGTATTTGAGATTACCGGGCTCGGCTGTTGACTGCAACTTCGCTGGAAATATTTGAGATGCCGGACAAAGATCACTGGATAGTTTGATGCTCTAGGTTATTTATTATTTATTTCGCCTATTTAAATGGTTGTTGATTTGTAGCCAACGCAGTTTGCGCCAACAATCTAGCTTTGGGAACGTTACTTTCGTACTGCTTCTCGATTGAATTCATGTAGATTGATGCGTGCTCAACTTGTACAAATAGATAGCACAACTACACCGAAACATTGTTATAAATGGCGCAACACTTACTTTTGCGTTGATCTTCTGATTTCTCTGCCAATACCCTGAAATAGTGAAGAAAAACCGGAAAAGAAGGATGATGAGAAAAAAGTACCCTCCACGTTAGGCGTGATTATATCTCCCCCTCACTGTGCGGAAGTATTGTACAGTATTAAAAATACGGTGACTGCTATGCTAGTCAGCATTCAAGTGACCGGACCACAAACAACGCTTGATGCTGTAAAACGTGTGCATGCTGAATGATATTCTCAGAGGGTAGTTCGACCGTGACATCCTGTTGCAGTTCGAGATTGACCGGAAAATGTTCCACCTGTACACGCCCATTCAAGCAGTGAAAAACTGTGTGTGTGTGNGGTGGGGGGAAGGCAACTGGGGACTGTAGTGGTAGTTTACCCCCCGCATCACACACACCGTGTATTTTGACCAGAAAGTGCTGAAGTCCATCAATTTCTTTGGGTCATAAAAATGCAATTTTACAGCAAGACACACAAG